GAGGTGCGATGGACGTCGTGGGTGATTCCGATGGTTGTGATTGCAAATGTCGTCGTTTTCGTTGTGGTAATGTACGTCAACGATTGTCCTCACAAGAGCGATCGATGTCTCGCAAAGTTCCTCGGACGTTTCTCATTCGAGTCTTTCAAGAAGAATCCTCTCCTCGGTCCTTCTTCCTCTACGTCAGTAAATTCCAACTCCAGATTATCAATCGATTTCGTTTTAGGGTTTTTTGATTTTGGGATTCTTAAAACATTCGAATTTCAAAAGCCCCAATTTTTGACAAAACCCCTCTCTTTCCTATGAATTTTGATCATTTTTTGTCCATTCTGTAACGACATTTTGAGTTATGTGATTCAATCTGAATCCATCTGTGAATTGCAGGTTAGAGAAAATGGGAGCTTTGGCATGGGGGAAAATAGTTCATAAGCGTCAAGGTTGGAGACTCTTAACATGTATGTGGTTACATGCTGGTATTCTCCATTTGCTAGCAAACATGTTTTGTGTTGCATTCATTGGAATTCGACTCGAGCAGCAGTTTGGTTTTGTTCGAATCGGGGCAATCTATCTTGTATCGGGTTTCTGCGGTAGCATATTATCTTGTTTGTTTGTTCAGAATGCAATCTCTGTTGGTGCCTCGAGCGCTTTGTTTGGCCTCTTAGGAGCAATGCTATCTGAACTTCTTATTAATTGGACTACCTACGAAAACAAGGTATGCGCAGAAAACACGCACCGAATAATCTCTTTGTCTGAGAATTGTTGGCATTAAACATAAGGAACACTCATGTTTCGGTTGGTTGATTATGTTTCTCTTCTTATGATCAATTGTAGGGTGTGGCTTTGATAATGCTTTTGGTGATTGTTGGTGTTAACTTAGCGTTAGGGACACTTCCTCCAGTCGATAATTTTGCTCACATTGGAGGTTTCTTGGGTGGTTTTCTTCTCGGTTTCCTTCTCTTGATTCATCCACAGTTTGAATGGGAGGAAAACAGAGTTTCTCTTATGCCTGGTTCCATTGTCAAACCGAAGTACAACACTTGCCAACTCGTGCTTTGTATAACTGCAGTTATTGTCTTTGTTGCCGGGTAAGCTTCAGAACTTTCTTAATCCTTCATGTTACCAACTACCATACCAATGATCGATCACTAGTGCACACGCATTTGATGTTTAATTTGGTTGCTAAACCAGACTTTGGTTTCGATGGATGTTATACCAATGTGCAGGTTTACTTCGGGGTTGGTGATACTATTCAGAGGGGATAACTTGAACAGATATTGTAAGTGGTGCCATAAACTTAGCTACTCCTCTAAATCTCAATGGACATGACATTTTCCTTTTTTGTTAGTGTTAGATTATTTCATTTTTGTTCTGTAATTACACCAATTCTTCATGTTGTAGCTCTGGTTTCCTTTTCAAGTTCATAAAAATTTTGAAACTAAACAAATACACAGGTACAATCTGGCAAATAAACATTATAGATGTCAACATTATAGTTAAGCAAGTTCTATTTGCATATTAGACTTAATCCACTTAACTTCAAACTACAAACCAAAAAAATTAACAGCAAAGCTTAATCCACTAATCTACAACAAAACCGGGTTAACCAGTCCAACTGCATCACGCAGTACTTATACTCAATTGGCATCCCGAGTCGGTCCAACCGACCTGAACCAGGATAAGCCTTGTTCAGATAACTAGTGTGCAAAGCAGAACCTTTTTGCAGACCTGACCTCGTATCACCACAGTATGGCACATCGACAAATCCAAATCGTATGGACGAAGATCGCTCGTAGGATAATTGCGGCCGTGCCTTCGGGGCGCTAGCAGACCGAGCCTTAGCCCTAGAGGACTCTGTACAAGCCATGTAGCTTGGAAAGGCATGGTGTAAACTGGTTCAGACAGGCCTATGTTGTCTAGGACGAGGTGGGATGAGTAGAACATGTCTGGTCTGCATCGTGTGAAAGAATTGTTGTGTTTCCTGTCGATTTGAAGGATCTTTTCTTCCTCATCCATGGCTGAGAATGTTTCTCCGTGAGCAGTGTACGGTCTGTTGTTCCTCTGAAAATTTAATCCAACCTCTTAAGTTTAAATGGTCCTTGAAGTCACATATAATGATAAACAAAATGTAATACCTTAAAAAGGTGACAATGAGCGAGCTTGGAGCTGTGAGAAGAGATCAAATGCATAAGCTTCTCCGGCGTTGGTGGACCCTTATGGATAAAACAGAATCTTCAAGCCCTTGAGTGGCCATCAATACATCTTTGAATGTTCTTCCTTCAATAACATGGATTATGTAGATTTAAATACGATTGATGTCACAAAAATCAAAATGACGACATTAATGCAAACATCATGGTCTTTTGTAATTAAAAAAATACCCCAATTAATGTTTTTAAAGTTCAATTGGCAAATTTTATTTATGTGACAAAATTTATATACATTGGTTAAAATATGTTTGTACAGCAACACATTCATATACTCTTGTCACTTATGGTGGCAGATCATAGTAACTTTATAAGAAATTATATCTAACCAATTTTTGCTGAAATTTGATTTCAAAATACCTTATACGTCTTTGACCAAAAAAAAAAAAAAATACCTTATACGTAATATGTTGTTTTTGTTTTGTTTTTTTAAGTATGGTGATAGCCGAACTAGTTTGAGGGAATAATGTATCAAAATATTAAATTAGAACTGAATTTGATTTATGTATAAGGTGGAAATAATCCTTTCAC